TCTGTGTGCGGGAGACAACCAATTGCTGTGTCTCTCTCCCACTGATGTCTCTTGCTTTCTCTCTCTCTCTTTCAACACCCCCTGCCTCCTTCCCTTTCACTCTCTCTAAAAATCAATGGAAAAATATCCTCAGGTGAGGATTAAGCAAAAAAATAAAAGGAGAAAAAGTTAAGAAAGGTACATGAGATAAAGTCTGAAGCAGAGCCAGCAGGACTTCCCAATAGACTGGATGTGGGTATAAGGGACAGCGAGAAACAAAGTAGATTTCTGGTCTGTGCAGTAGGAAATGGTGGAGCCATCGGCATCTGGCAAATTTGACCACTTTCTCCTTCTAAAAATAGCCCCCTCTTCATTTAACAGTATGATACTTTTCATTTAAATCTACAATCCTGCTCCATCCAACTGCCCATTCATTGTATGTACTTAGATGTCTTGCCATAATCCACAATATAACTGGAGACTGCTCCCCACTGTTACCTGCTTAAGCAAATACGTCCCTTCGTCTTCCTCATCCTTCTGAAGTCCCCACTCAACCCACTGACTCCTGCTTTACATTTGCCCTATCATCTCAAGCTATTTCCTATGTAGTTTCCCTTCTTTTGTTGCCAGTGATTTATACTTGTCAAGTAACGGTAGCTATAATTTACTAACTCCTTTCTGTGCTACTCATGCATTATTTCATTTAGTTCTCCATACCTTATAAAGTAGATTATATTATCTCTCCTTGATAAATGAGAAAACTGAAGCATAGAGAAGTTAAGAGATGTATCCAAGGTTACGTAGGGGGACCTGGGGCAGGGGCACTAGGAGGAGGAGGTAAAGGATGGTAAAATGGGAGATATCTATAATATTATCCTATATAATAAAAGCCCAATATGCAAATTGTCCCCTCAATTGGGAGTTGACCAGGAATTCCACGGCTCGCTATGACGTGTGCTGACCACCAGGTGGCAGTGCAAAACATGTCAGTGATACAGAAGTCACTACCTGCGCTGATGGGCACCAAGGAGAGAGTGGGCCGTGATGGGATGGTGGAGCAGGTGAGCTGGTGTTGCCATGCCAAGGCAGGTGTGAGCAGGGGCCAGCAGATGGCCCCGCAGACAACTCCCAGTGGCAGTGGCGGTGGCTGGGATGGCATCGACCAACCTCTTGCTGTACCCGGATGGGGGACTGCGACCTTTAGTCAACTACCTGGGGGCAGGGGTGACTGGAATGGTGGTGTGGTGAGAATGCAGGGTGTCCGCCAGGCTTGCTCTCACTCCCCTACTCCCTCCCCCAGGATGCTCAGGTGCCAGGCGCCCATGAGGAGCCTGGCCCACACCCACGAACCTCTTCCGAGTGAGCTGAGCCGCAATCACTGATTGGCTGCCTCCTGCACCCTCCCCTACTGGGGATCTAGCTCCCAACCTAGGCGTGTGCCCTTGATCAGAATTGAACCCAGGACCCTTCAATCCGCAGGCGGACACTCTATCCATGGAGCCAAACCAGCTGGGGCTACAGCCAGTTTTTGATTGTGTATGTTCCCTGGGAAGGTCCTTTTTGGTATTATCACTCTCCCTCTTACAGTTCCTGCCAGCCTTGGTCCAACATCACAGTCAGAAGCAAAACCAGAGCCAGAACGCAGTTTGGCGATGCCCAGGCCACCTTCCATTTCACAAAGGAGCCCCAGGCCCCAGAGTTTTCCTGTCCCACCTGGAGTTCCCTTAGAGGCAAGTCAATCTGCTTTGTGGAGCATCCTTCCTGTCTATACAAGGGCCCTTTCCACTCCAGAGCCCTGCTACGAGACTCAGTTGAAAATGGCCACAAGAACACTTTAATAAGATTGTCTACAGCCCTGACCGGTTTGGCTCAGTGGATAGGCCTGTGGACTGAAAGGTCCCAGGTTCGATTCTGGTCAAGGGCATATACCTTGGTTGCGGGCACATTCCCAGTAGAAGGTGTACAGGAGCCGAAACTGGTCTGGTTCAATGGATAGAGCATCAGCTTGGGGACTGAAGGGTCCCGGATTCGATTCCGGTCAAGGGCATGTACCGTATTTTTCGGACCATAAGACGCTCCGGACCATAAGACGCACCAGTTTTTAGAGAAGGGAAATGAAGAAAAAAAGATTCTGAAACAAATAGTGTCCTAAAATATTTTATGTGCATTAAAACCCAACATCACAGTCATAAACACATGTAATCAACCCTGTAAAGTAAACAGCAGCATTTAGAACCATTTTAGAGCCGGGCAAGCACACAGAGACCACACAGAGCCGGGCAAGTAAAAAAACTTTTTTTTTAAAGTATATGTGTAGGCTATATTTGGACCATAAGACGCAGGGACTTTTCCCCCCCAATTCTGGGGGGAAAAAAGTGCGTCTTATGGTCCGAAAAATATGGTACCTTGATTGCAGGCATATCCCCAGTAGGGGGTGTGCAAGAGGCAGCTGATCGATGACACTCTCTCATCGATGTTTCTAACTCTCTATCTCTCTCTCTTCCTCTCTGTATAAAATCAATAAAATATATTTTTTTAAAAGGTGTACAGGAGGCAGCTGATCAATGTTTCTCTCTTATAGATGTTTCTGATTCTCTATCCCTCTCCCTTCCTCTCTAAAAAATCAATAAAATATATATATTTTTAAAAGATTGTCTACAAATAGTTTCCTATTATAGAAAACCCCTTTCTTCCCAGCACCCTCAGCCAACCCTTCAGAATCTTCACAGGATTTAGTACATCTCCGCTCCTTCAGAATAACTCCCACCTACCAAGAATTCCATACCCTTCAAAGAGCAGTCCCTAAAACCAATCAATCCCACCTGTCTTCAGGCCCAGTCTGTCATCCCCGAGTTCTGCCTCTCATAACCCACACACTGACTCCATCAAATCCTGTCCCTTGTACCCTCAAAGATGTCCAGAATATATATTTGACCCCTTCTCTCAAGTTCCAAGCCCCATTACTTATGTCTCCAGTGGATTCTTGCGGTAAATATAATATTGCAGTAGTCTCCGAACTGGAACCCTTATATCCATGTCTGCCCACTTCAACCTATTCCCCACACAGCAAAAACAGTCCTTTTAAAATACAAATCCAGCCGAAACCGGTTTGGCTCAGTGGAGAGAGCGTTGGTCTATGGACTGAAGGGTCCCAGGTTTGATTCTGGTCAAGGGCATGTGCATTGGTTTCGGGCACATCCCCGGTGGGGGGTGTGCAAGAGGCAGCTGGTCGATGTTTCTCTCTCATCGATGTTTCTAGCTCTCTGTCTCTCTCCCTTCCTCTCTGTAAAAAATCAATGTTGGTTTTTTTTTGTTTTTTTTTAATTAAAATACAAACTTAGCCTGGCCGGTGTGGCTCAGGGGTTGAGCGTCGACCTGGGAACCAGGAGGTCAGGGTTTCATTCCACTTGCCTGGGGTTGCGGGCTTGATCCTGGGTGCTGGAGGCAGCTGACCCATGATTCTCTCTAATCGTGGATATTTATATCCCTCTCTCCCTCTCTCTTCCTCTAAGAAATCAATAAAAATATTTTAAAAATAAAATACAAATCAGATCATGTCACTCCTACTAAAAACTCTCCAACTCAGAAAAAAAAAAAATTAAAAAGCTAGTCAACTCATTCGGTTGCAGCCATCCTGTTTAATTGGCCACGCATGCGCTGGCCCCCAGACTGTACTCTTGCTGTTCTCTGTGGCAGGAAGGACCTTTCAGGTGGCTTTTCCCTTTTATTCAGGTCGGAGGCACAATGCTAACTCTTCAGAGGCCTTCCCTGGCCACCCTATCAAAACAGCGCTCTGCTTCAGCCACCTTTATTGATCCTCTTATCCCGCTTTATTTTTCTCCCTTGCACCTGCATTACCTAACAGTAGATTTTTAAAAATATATTTTTTGTTGATTTCAGAGAAGAAAGGAGAGGGAGAAATAGAAACATCAGTGATGAAAGAGAATCACTGATCAGTTGCCTCCTGCATGCCCCCACGGGGACCAGGCCCGCAACCCCAGCACTTGCCCTTGACAACCGGGACCCTTCAGTCCTTGGCTCAGTGGATAGAGCCTCCGCCTGCGGACTGAAGGATCCCGGTTCGATTCCGATCAAGGGCACATGTCTGGGTTGCAGGCTCGATTCCCCAGTAGGGGGCGTGCAGGAGGCAGCCGACCAATGAGTGTCTCATCTCATCACTGATGTTTCTATCTCCCTCTCCCTCCCTCTCTGAAATAAATAAGACTCCCACTAAAGCCCTGACTGGTTTGGCTCAGTGGATAGAGCGTCGGTCTACGGACTGAAAGGTCCAGGTTGGATTCCGGTCAGGGGCATGTACCGTGGCTGTGGGCACATCCGCGGTGGGGTGTGTGCAGGAAGCAGCTGATCTATGATTCTCTCTCATTGATGTTTCCAACTCTCTATCCCTCTCTCTTCCTCTCTGTAAAAAAATCAATAAAATATATTTTTTTTAAAAAAAGATCTTAAATGCAGGAGAATTACGGTTTAAAAAAAAAAAAAAAGACTCCCACTAAAAATAACATAACCCCAAACGCTCAAAAACCCTCATTCTTTCAGACCGGCCCAGCCCTCAGAAGCCACAAGAATATAAGGTGCATGTGAGGTTCGCCAGTCTCCCCAGAACAGAACCCCATTCTCTGGTAATGAATGAACTGCGCCGCCCCTTCCATCTTTTCCAGGCCTTCCCGGGCCCTCCTACTTCCCAGCCCCCACCCCCGGCCCAAACTCCAGCATCACCCCCTTTCGGGCTTCTGAGTCCCCAAGTTCGAATCCTCCTGTTCCCCTAGGACCTCCCCCCACCCCCCAGGCCTCCAATCACTCAGGACCTGGGGAGTCCTGCCTCCCACACTCCCAGCAATACCCCAAACCGACCCTCCCAGCCCTCTCAGGCCGGCTACCATGCCCGGGCGCAGAGTTCCCGCCTCCTCTCTTCAAATCAGACCCCCCCCCCGAGGGCCGCGGACGCCGCAGGCCGGCCGCCCCCTCCCGCCCCTCAGCCCCGCAGGCTGCACCGCTCTGACCGTTTCTGGGCCTCCAGTCCCCAGAGACGGATCTGCCGGTCATACTGCGCCGCCTCCTCCTCGCTGATGCCGCCGCCGGCCTCCTCCTTCTCCACCATGGCGCCGGCTCTCTCCGCCCCACCGAGCTCCGGGCCCGCGCACGCCAACCGCCGGCCGCCGCGCGCCCGGGACGCGCCTGCGCCTGCGCCGGGGATCGCGCCTGCGCCGTGGCTCCTCCCCGCCGGCCCGCCTCCGCAGCCCGGGACCACGTGGGCCCTTCCCCCTCCGGCTTCAAAGGCGGGCGGGCCGGCGAGGGCCGGTCACGTGACCGAGTCTCCAGCCCGTCCAGGCCAAACTGTAGCCGGGCCTATGGCGCCCACGAGGGAAGGAGATTGCGCTGAGATTATTCATTCAACAGACATTTCTGGAGTGCCTGCTGCAAACCCGGCATCGGGTTTGTGAAATAGAATGGTGAATACAATAGACAAGCCCGGCCCTCATGGAGCTTATCTTATGTTGAGAAGGGCCCAAGATAAAAATCACTGTAAGTCAGGCCATGCTAAATGCTTTTGGAGAAAAATAAAGCCGGGTATGGAACTACAGGAGGACAGGAATGGCCAGGGAAGGGCTCTCAGAGAAGGAGACACTGAGCAGAGATCTGAAGAAACAAGCCTTACAAATAACTGGGAGAAGGGACATTTCCTGGCAGAGGAAACAGCTAGTGCAAAGTGTTGTGGGGTCGAACCCTGGGTCCAAAATAAGACCACCAGACTGATGATTGATTTATTTTTTTAAAAAATATTTTATTGATTTTTTTACAGAGAGGAAGGGAGAGAGAGATAGAGAGCTAGAAACATCGATGAGAGAGAAACATCGACCAGCTGCCTCTTGCATAACCCCTACCGGGGATGTGCCCGCAACCAATGTACATGCCCTTGACCTGAATCGAACCTGGGACCTTTCAGTCCGCCGACCGACACTCTACCACTGAGCCAAACCCGCTTTGGCTGATGATTGATTTTAAAAAAGTAGGCAAGGGTTTATTGAACTGGCCAGGACGGCCTTGAGAGCACCACACGCAGGTGGAGTCCACATGACCGCACTGTTCCAGGGGTAGGCAGTCTTTTTAAAGGTCTAAACCACAAAAATTTTCCTTTGTTCTAAATTCTAAAGGCTGGGAACAGCCCGCAGGGTCGGGTCGTCCCCAGCCACATCCTGCTGGACATTGGAATGTGGCCCTGTCTTGTGAAAGCAGATAGTACAGAAGCAGAGCTGAGCGGTTACTCTCTAAAGGTTATCTACAGTTTCTACTCCTGAAGCTACAGAGTCAGTGGGAATCCATCTCCGGTGGTCCTAGTCCATAGGCACAGGAAAATTGCCTTAGCCTCCAGGTCTCAATCTGGAAGCTGAAGCAACTACCCTATTGTTTAAGCAAGTAAGCTAGTGCCAAAGCCAGAATAGCAGAGTTAAAATTCAAACCGTAGTTTTTACCTAAGTATGGCTGCTACCATACTTCACAAAGGCCCTGAAGATGAAGCATGCTCTCATGGTTTAACTGTGGAGGAGGCATGGTGCTGGAGGAAAGTGAGAGGGGCAAATGGTAAAGGATTAACACATAGAGGAAGCAGGTGTGGGATCATGTAGGGCCTTGTAGGCTGGTAATAGCTAATATGTATTTCTCCTTAGGCAAGATGCCTTTTTATTATTACTTCAATAAATATGTGGAGGAAAGGGGCCACATGCTGACCTGACAAGCTAAGGGGAGGCCTGCTTGGCCGTCTTGCAAACTCAGACCTAAAGGAACCACAGAGCATGGTCTGAAATTGAACTTTAACTAAAAGCAGTTATGGCCGAAACCGGTTTGGCTCAGTGGATAGAGCGTCGGTCTGCAGACTGAAAGGTCCCAGGTTCGATTCCGGTCAAGGGCATGTACCTTGGTTGCCGGCACATCCCCAGTAGCGGGTGTGCAAGAGGCAGCTGGTCGATGTTTCTCTCTCATCGACATTTCTAGCTCTCTAACTCTCTCCCTTCCTCTCTGTAAAAAATCAATAAAATATATTTTAAAATAAATAAAATAAAATAAAATAAAATCAGTTATGGTGGGGAGTTAAGTCTTAGGCCTGTATCTTCACTGACAAGGCCAACCTTTTCCTAACTGAGCCTGTCTGTCTTTTTGCATCTATGACAACATAAGTATGAAATGTCTGGGTAACTTGTAACTTCCCTCTTTCTGGAGCCCCTGGGGCACAACCTAATGTGCTGTGCACTAGGAAAGATACCACATATTCCTTCTTTATGGTGTTGTTTCTGCTCCCACCTAAGTATGCGTCCATCATTTTACTTTCTATCCAATCGCAGGGGTTTCCCCCTCTCGTACCCCTTTGCTTTATCCCACCTCCTTAATCCATCACCAGTGAATTTCACATAACCCACCTACATCCCTCCTTTGATTGCAATGTATAAATACAATGTGACCCGCCATTCTCCGGAGCATTATCTCAATTCCTTGAGGTTCTGCTTCCTGGCATATGTAGATAATTTGGCTCAAATAAAATCATAAAAATTCTTTACAGGTTTCAATGTTGTTGTTTTTTATGTTAACAAATACTTAATTAAAAACTTGTTCTGGCCAAAACCGGTTTGGCTCAGTGGATAGAGTATCGGCCTGAGGACTGAGAGGTCCCAGGTTTGATTCCGATCAAGGGCATATACATTGGTTGCGGGCACATCCCCAGTAGGGCATGTGCAAGAGGCAACTGATCCATGATTCTCTCTCATCGATGTTTCTAACTCTCTATCCCTCTCTCTTCCTCTCTGTAAAAAATCAATAAAATAAAAAAAAATAAAGGTTTTCATTGACGGGCCAGTGTGGCTTAGCGGTTGAACATCAATCTATGAACCAGAAGGTCACGGTTCAATTTCCAGTCAAGGCATGTGCCCAGGTTGTGAGCTCAATCCCATATGGGGGGGATACAGGAGGCAACCAATCAATGATTCTCTCTCATCATTGATGTTTCTATCTCTCCCTCTCCCTTCCTCTCTGAAATCAATAAAAAAATACAAAGTATTTTAAAAAACAAAAATATTTATTATCTCATAGTTTCTGTGGGTCAGAATTCAGGAGCAGTTTGGCTGGGAAGTTCTAATTCAAGGCCTCTCATGGGGGTGCAGTCAGATGCACGCTGTGGCTGCAGTCATCTGATGGCATGGGGGAGAAGAGCCCCTTTCGAGGTGACTCACTCACAGGGCTGGCAAGGTGATGTTGGCTGATGGCTGCGGACCTCAACTCCCCTGGCCAATTTCTGGGTGCAGGCCTTTAGAAATAGGCAGGCTCCCCTTAAAAAAGCTATGTGGCCGAAACTGGTTTGGCTCAATGGATAGAGCGTCGGCTTGGGGACTGAAGGATCCCGGGTTCGATTCAGGTCAAGGGCATGTACCTTGGTTGCCGGCATATCCCCAGTAGGGGGTGTGCAAGAGGCAGCTGATAGATGACTCTCTCTCATCAATGTTTCTAACTCTCTATCTCTCTCCCTTCCTCTCTGTATAAAATCAATAAAATATAAAATAAATAAAAATAAATAAAAAAAAGCTATGTGGCCGAAACCGGTTTGGCTCAGTGGATAGAGCGTCGGCCTGCAGACTGAAAGGTCGCAGGTTCGATTCTGGTCAAGGGTATGTACTTTGGTTGCAGGCACATCCTCAGTAAGGGATGTGCAAGAGGCAGCTGATCGATGTTTCTAGCTCTCTATTCTCTTCCCTTCCTCTCTGTATGAAAATCAATAAAATATATATTTTTTAAAAACCTTAAAAAAAAAAAAAAGCTATGTGAACCAGCAATTCCACTCTTAGATATATACCCAGAGAAATTGGAACAGGGACCCAAACAGATACTTGTATGCCAATCTTCATGGCAGCATTCTTCACAACTAGAGGCATGAAAATTCAAGCAAGAGTAGGCCTTCCTTACCCGGCTGCTGGCCCAGGCTTCCCTCTGGCACCCTGAGCCAGGCGGGACCCAGGCTTTCCTCTTCCGGCCTTCAGCAGGCACCCGGGACCCAGGCTGGCTTCCCTCCCACCTGGCTTTGTCAGGAAGGACGTCCAAAATGACACCCGGAAGATGTCTAGTCTAATTAGCATATTACCCTTTTTTTAGTCTGGATAGCCAAAGGTGGAATAACCCAACCCATTCACCAACTGATGAATGAATAAACAAAATGGGATCTATCCGGACAATGGACTATTCTTCAGACATAAAGAGGACTGAAGCACTGGCCCATGTTGTAGCATCGATGACCCTTCCAAACATATGGAAAGTGAAAAGCCCAGACAAAATAGGTGACAAGAAAAGAAATAGGTAGTGATGACGGTTGCATAATATAGCGAATGTGCCGAAACCGGTTTGGCTCAGTGGATAGAGCGTCAGCCTGCGGACTGAAAGGTCCCAGTTTCGATTACGGTCAAGGAAATGTGCCTTGGTTGTAGGCACATCCCCAGTGGAGGGTGTGTACGAGGCAGCTGATTGATGATTCTCTCTTAGATGTTTCTAACTCTCTGTCCCTCTCTCCTCCTCTCTGTAAAAAATCAATAAAACATATTTTATAAAAATAAAATATTGTGAATGTATCAATACCACTGAACTGTACACTTGAAAATGGTTAAAATAGTGGATTTTATGTTATATCTATTTTTTAATATATTTTTTATTGATTTTTCACAGAGAGGAAGGGAGAAGGATAGAGAGCTAGAAACATCAATGAGAAACATCCACCAGCTGCCTCCTGCACACCCCCTACTGGGGATGTGCCCGCAACCAAGGTACATGCCCTTGACCGGAATCGAACCTGGGACCCTTCAGTCCACAGACCGACACTCTATCCACTGAGCCAAACTGGTTTCGGCTGTTATATCTATTTTTAATTTTTTTGTTTTTCATAAACCTTTATTGTTGAAAGTATTATGCATGTCCCCATTTATGTTATATATTTATTACTACATTTTTTTATTTTTATTTTTTGGTTTTAAAAGGCTTTTAAATTGATTTTTAGAGAGAGAGAAGAAACATCACCAAAACCGGTTTAGCTCAATGGAATAGAGCATGGGCTTGGGGACTGAAGAGTCCCGGGTTCAATTCCGGTCAAGGGCATGTACCTTGGTTGCGGGCACATCCCCGGTGGGGGGTGTGCAAGAGGCAGCTG